TGTCTGTCTCTGTGAGAACATGAGACCTGGAGCTGTTCTGCCATCTTGGGCTCCTGAAGAGTCAGGATTCATTGGGCACAAGCTTCCTGTGATACAACCAGAAACCAAACCTTAGAAAATCATTCAGATTCAGAGGCTTGGAAGAGGACACGAAACCCATGAGACACAGAGAAGTCAGATGCGAGGAAGACAAAGAAATCAAGTTGGGTTCTGAAGTCAAGGTATTGCAGGGGTGGGCAAACTTTTTGACTCGAGGGACACAATGGGTTCTTAAACTGGACCGGAGGGCCGGAACCAAAGCATGGATGGAGTGTTTGTGTGAACTAATATAAATTCAAAGTAAACATCATTACATAAAAGGGTACGGTCTTTTTTTCAATAGTTTTATTCATTTCAAACGGGCCGGATCTGGCCCACGGGCTGTAGTTTGCCCACGGCTGGGCTAAGGCAACATTTAAATATATTTCATTGATTTTTTAAAGAGAGGAAGGGAGAGGGATAGAGAGCTAGAAATATCAATGAGAGAGAAACATCGACCAGCTGCCTCCTGCACACTCCCTACTCGGGATGTGCCTCGCAACCAAGGTACATGCCCTTGACCAGAATTGAATCTGGGATCCTTCAGTCCGCAGGCCGACTCTCTATCCACTGAGCCAAACTGGTTAGGGCCACACTGTCAGGGCCAGCCTGACAGGGTTGAGCCGGGCTGAGGCAGGGAGGTGGGAATTGAGAAAAGAAAGAAAGACAGGAAAGCGGGGTCGGGAGGACTCCAGTTCTCTTGATGAACTGAAGTGAGTTTATTAGCTCTACAATCCTATTTATACACAACACACCAAATTGGAGGTCTATCAAGAGGAATGTATTCTTTGTTCCTCTTAATCTCTAAGGGAGGGATACAGCAGAAGGACAAATTCTCAGTGCAGCATATCTCAGTAAATAGGTACAGACTTCTTGGCAAGCTATGAAAGGCTGTTTTCATTCTACAAATGTTACTCCCATTTTACTGATAATCGCCATCCAAACAAGCCTGGGAAAACTGTGTGGGTAAGGGTCCCAGCCTTGCTAGCCCCTACAGGTGCAAGGACCTTGCCAGCCTACATCTGGCCCCCAACACCACACCAATTTTGAAATTTATTTCTTATTGGAAAACTAAGAGAAGTCAGAAGATTTAGTTCCTGGTTCTCAACTACTTTCCTTAATAAAATCTACTTTACAGAGCTATCCTGAAGGTAAAAATCAGCCTGCTCAGGGAAAGCACATTGTCAGTTATAAAGCACTAGTATAATAGGTGTTTGATTTATCTTCTGCAGGGCTTCAGCAATTTAGAAGAGTGCTTTCTCCATTCCAGCCCTTTTTGCAAAACTCCCTCATCCTTCTCCACCCCAAGAGTTTTTAATTAAGTACTTCTTCCGTTCAAGAGAAAAGTTTTCCGCCAGCTGAAAGCCCCAAGGCCAGGGTAAAGATGGAGGGCGGTCAATTACAGCCACTCAGACAGAATCCCTCTACTCAGGGAGGTTTAAGCAGCTGTATCTTCTAGTGTAAACATCTCAGGGGAGACCCACCTCCCCACCTGGCGCCCTCTTCCACTGGGATCCAGAGGACGCCGGGAATTGTAGTTTCCCAAGGCCCAGTTCAGTCAGCGCATGCGCTCGGAACTCCCTATCCTCCCCATCACCGCCCTTGCCCCCGCCACTCCCGGATAAGGAAGTGGCCAGTGATGCCACGCGTTCTACGGGCCGTGGCCGTGGGCTTCTGGGAATTGTAGTCGCTGGGGGCAGACTCGGTCGGTAAGGAGACGTAGACTTCCTTGAGGTCCGCTACCGCAGTTGGCTCCCCACGGGAGCGGCGAGGTCAGTCCGCAGCTCTCCCCTCAGGGCTCTCCGCCCGAGGCTGAGAAGGCGCTTTCCTTCGCCCCCGGGTTCCCCTCTGCGGCGCTGGATGCTCCTTGCCCCACATTCCATTTCCCTGCCCAGGTCTCTCCCGCTCGGGTCCATCTCCGAAGCCCGGGGTTAGCAGGCGCTCGCCCTCGGGGAGAGACAGGGACTTTCTCC